TGGCCATGCCTTCCGTGTCCGTTCCTTGCGAACCTTGTAGTTTGGTTGCCTTGTCGGAGTTGCCTTGTGCTTCACCGCATGGTTGCTGTGCTGCTCATCCGCTTTCCCTGTGGTCCCTTGCAGTGTTGTTGCCTTGGTGGTGTTGCCTTGTGCTTCACTGCCTGGTTGCCACACTGCGTGTCCTGCGTGCCATGCCGTTCCTTGCAGTAGTTTTTGGTGTTGTGCAGCCGTGTTGCCTCTACTGCATTGCCTGGTGCTCCGCAGGGTTGCTGCCTGCTGCTACGTTCCGCTTGGGGACAGTCTGCCTTCAACAATGATGGGTCAAAGGGTTCATGACCCAAACCATCCAATACGGAGATTCTGCAGATTGTCGAGGGTGCAGCCTCCTGATGAGTCGGTGCAACTCCGACGAAACAGCCCATCACCAGCTTTATGTTTCCGGTCATTGTTGTTTTTTGGGACTTGTATTCCTTTCTGGTTTGCCTGTTTGCCCTCCTGCCATTGTCCTTTGCCGCGGCCTGTCATCCTATGCCTAGTTGCCTTGTGCCTCCATGTGCCCACGCGCCTTCCCCGTGCCCTCCAGCCCTTGTTCTTTGCTGCCATGTGTCATTCTCTTGTCTCGTCGATTGTCGTTGTGGTTGTCTTTTTGGTTCACTGCCTTGTGTTGTGTGTCTGCTCTCCCGTCTCCCCTCTGCCCTCCAGCCTGTGTGCCTTGCTGCTGCCTGTCGTGCAATGCCAAGTTGCCTCCCCGCTTTGTCGTTTCATCTTTTCGTCGTTTAGTCGGAGATTCTCCCTTGTCGCCACTTACACCTGATTCCTGAGTTAGGGCATATTACTCACACTAGGACTTTTTTACGTATTTTTCGACGGAATTGCGGCCAGATACATCCAGGTGTGGCCGTGAATGCGGTCAGATACATTTGAGATACTGCTAGTGTGAGTATGCCCTTAGTTCTCTACATGGTTGAACTTCTCTGCTGGTGGCATCTGGTCACTGGTTCTGTAGATTTTTTTTTTTTTTCACCAATGGCTCCAATCTATTGGTGGGGAGCCGCTCCTGCTGGAAACCGGGTCCACCGTCTCACAGAACCTCAATGTTTTTATAAAAGACAAGTTTTCGGATGACCTGTTTGGTGGGCAAGCACAGCATTATTTATTTTGCTCAATGTTGTTGGTAGCGGTGCACATGTCACTTCTTCAACCTCCAGACGAGTCGGTGAAAGTCCTACAAAAAAGCAGTCTGGCACAGTCATGCTTTTTTTTCTATGGAGTTGTGTATAGCGAACATGACAACAGACACACACATTGTTATCAAGTGCCTGGACGCCCTCGCCTGCACAAAGCGTATTTACTTCTATCTGCCGGACTGACACCTGTGCACATGTGTCGTGGTATGAGCAAGAGAAGTGAACATGGACACTTGTTACCTGACAGCGCGGGAACACACCCACTTCTCCGCGTACCCTTTATGAGTCACATACTAGAGCAAGCAACTATGTTGCAGCTCTGTTAGCACAAAAGAGACAGTGAGCAAACAGCAGAAGACGGGTAATGGCCCCAGTATCTCAAACTGTTCTATACATGTTTTCAAATGGG